TCACACCGCCGGGTCCCGGTTCCGGCATGTGGTCGACACGTGCCATTTCGCCTCTAAATTTCACGATGTACGGAAAGATCTAGAGTTTCTACAATGAAACCTCAAATCTTAGTGGTCCACGTATGCTATCTTAAAATTATACGATTTGACTGAAATATTATGCAAATCGGACGGATAATATTCTCAGATCTAAATTGTTTAGTTTAAACAAGGCTGTAGAAAATAAAACTTATACAGACATCTCTCCCTGATTCTGGTAAAACCCACTGCCTTTGACCTACTACTCCTTCCCCCCCCTTTCTATCTCGTTTTTCTTCTGGAACTGGAGAAAAAAAGAAAAGGGAAATCAAATCCTACCTTCCGGTTTTGTTGGATAATTTGATTTTGTCATTAATTTAGTTGTGTAGGTTTGAGTGATTGGATAACAGAGAGATGTCGGAGAAGTTCTCGCCGACGCTGCGGATTGGAGATCTCAGCGATTTCATAGCACCAAGTCAAGCTTGTGTAGTCTCTCTCAAAGGAATTAAAGCTCCTACCAGGAAGCCTGACAAACCAGAGGTAAGCGGATTAAATTTCCCTTTTTTTCCCCAATTATTGTTCCAATTTTGACATTTTGCTTCCAAGTTTTTGATTCATTGCTTGTTTACTATTACTGTTTTATTCCTCAAGTAAACTCTATTTAGATTATATGATTCACTTTTTAAAAAGTTAATCTGATTGAAAATTTTGCTAAACTTGTAGTTTTGGCTCACGCTCTATTATTATATTTGTTTTTAGCAACGCACTGCACTATTCTTTCCAAAATTCTTCCACTTTGTTCGATATTTTACTTCATAAGTAAACAGCATAAAGAATTGAGGTTATTTTCATGCTAATATACACTGTCTCCTATCCCTACCCGAATTTATTGCTGTGTAGAGCAATCTTTTTAAATTTGAAACAGGGAGAAAATTGGGTCTCTGCGTTGTTCAAACAATATGTTATGTTATTTAAGCTTCTTGGAGCAGTTGGATAACATTTTCCCTTATCTGGGGCAGTATTTGCTATAAGTAGTTTTTTGTAGGAGTAGAGGAAATGAACGGAGTTATGGAAATTGGTAGAGCCATTCGGTTATATGCACTGATGCCTCCATATGGGCTTTATCACCAGGGTTCTATTCCAATTTCTAAACAAAAGAACTGTATCATGAAGTGTATGTCAAGTTCTTTAACTGAATATTTGTTGGGGGATTTTTTTTTTTGGTGAAGTGTTGATTTCTAACAAACACAAACAGAAGCTTAAAATTCGCTAAGACTGCTTACGTGCAGTATATTCTTTCTCTCATTAA